AAATTCCTTATGTACCCATGAAAGTTCACCTAATCCGATCCCTTCTATGCCTATGAATTTTGCTCATTTGCTTACATACCCCTTAATTTTAGTTTGTATCCCTTTCACGCCCTTTTCCCTAGTTGACCGTTAGCTGACCGTTAAATTCTTATGAAAAAGTCTATTTTGCCCTTTCCTATGAAGAAACATAATAAATTAATGGAGTACATAGTTGGAGTGTAGAAATTTGTTGGATGAAACTATTATATTTATGAGTTTGTTATGCACCTTATTATTTGTGACAAATTTGCTATTAGATACGATATAAAAAGTTAATATTTATTTATTAGTTATCAAAAGTTTTTTTTATGTAGTATATGTGTTTTGATAGTAATACAATAAATTTGTTGTATAAGACAAATATATTTATATCCTACATAAACAACTTTTAATAACTAAAAATCAGTATTGATTTTTATGTCATATCTAAATGTATATTTATCGCCAATAATATGGTGCATAACTAGCTCATAAATATAATAGTTCCTTCTAACAAATTTTTACACTCCAACAATACGCTGTATTAATTTATATGCTTCTTCATAGTAAAGGGCAAAATGGGCTTTTTCATAAGAATTTAACGGTCAACTAACGGCCAACTAGCGGAAAGGGCATGGAAGCGATCCAAACTAAAATTCGTGGGTATGTAATGGAATGAGCAAAATTCAAGAGCGTAGAAGCGATTAGATAAACTTTCAGGGGTACACGGGTACACGAGGAATTTACTCCTCACTAGTATAGAAGCTATTTGTTAAAGTCACCTTGAAGATAAACAGCAACTTTATAGTTTGTCTTTCTTATTGAAGAAACAACCACTTGCGCAGAATCCATTTGGAGAATTATCGTTGTTTGGCTATTGGCACTGTGATATTTATCTGGTAACCGATCAAATACTGAGATTCAGTTAAGTAATTAAATCGAGTTCAGCTTCATTTCGTTAAGTAATTCATGTTTGAGCTTCAGTTTGTTCATCAGTGGCCGAAATGCCAAAACGGAGAGTTATAGATCAAAATTCAAATATTGTGTACCGCAGAAATAAAGCCATGAAGGCTAATATCAAGCTAAGCACCCAATTCAAGACCACTCATAAACATGTATATACTTCCTCCGTTTCACAATATAAGTCATTCTAGCGTTTTCCACATTTATATTGATGTTAATGAATCTAGACAGAAATGTCTAGATTCATTAACATCAATATGAATGTGGAAAATGCTAGAATGACTTACATTGTGAAACAGAGGGAGTAGCAAACATATGATTACTCATTCAGTTTCTTAATTTCTGAATCAATCATTTATTTGTGCATTTAATTATTGGAAATCAGGCCATAGCAGGCATGAGGACCAATTCTTGGCATCTTGCATCTCCTCATTGGGTTCGCATGGTCTATTTTGAAGGAGCTATCAGACTGGACATATATCTGACAGTAAAAGTCACTACCACAAAAACGATTTTGCGGTACACGGAGCTCTTTAGGTTTCGGACGGACTGTAACTGATCGCGTCTATAAAAATCGTCCTCCATTTCCATCTGCGGATCCTTAAGATGACCGCACGGAAAAATCGATTTTTACAAACAGACCTCTCAAGTGGGCCACACACAAAAATAAGCCTAATTTCGCAGTTGGGGCACTTAAGTGGACCGCACGCGAAAATACAGATTTTTTTATCCCATCCCCTCTCTCTCTTTCCCCTTTCACTCACTTCAATTTTTTTACCTCCTCTCTCTTACTTTCCATTTTATTCACTCATCTCTCTGTATTTCTCTCCTTTCTCTGCATCTCCTCCTCTCCGAGCGTGCGACGCGGGAGGCGGCTGGCTCGGCAACCGCGCGCGACGACCACATCCGCGCCGTACCCACCACCGCCGACGACGACGAGGAGGCGGCGCGGCAGCTGGCGACCGGCGACCGGGTGTCACGGCCGCGAGTTGGTGGCAGGCAGCGAGCGACTCGGGAGCGTGTGCGATGGCCAGATCCTCGCCGCACCCGCCGCCGCTGACTACGAAGAGGAGGAGGCGGCCGGGAGTGGCCCTGCGATGGTGCTATCCGTTGTCGCCGCCACCGCGACGGAGGGATCTGCCACCTCTGCCGCCGTGCGCGCGACAGCTGGATCCGCGCCACCACCGTCGCCGACGAGGAGGAGGAGGAGGCAACCTGGAGCGGCACCGCCCTCCCCATGCGTGGTGGTGGCGGATCTGGTGGTGGGGGATGTGGGCGGCGGTGGATCCGGCGACTGGAGTGGCCTGACCCGGAGATGGTGACGACAAGGACAATGGTGACCACAACGACAATGGCGGAGGCGGCTTCTCTAGGGTTAGGGTTTCGGATATTTGGATTTTACTTTTTTTCGGTTTTTTATTTTTGCGTGCGGGCGACATGAGCACCTGCACGCGAAAAATCAAATTTTCACATGCGGGTGCGCCACCCACACGCAAAAATAGTGATTTGTTTAGAACCTTGGTTGCGTGTGGCGCCATACCACACGCGAAAACACCTTTTGGGCCGCACGGGAAAATTGTTTTTGTAGTAGTGAGTCCTTAGTTAATAAAACAATTGATCTATGGTGCATAATACATCTTTAGGCTCTGCCAAATCATGTGTGCTTAATGTTGGAAAGCATGGCACTTGTGCTTGCAAGATCAAGCAATCAAACTTTATAGAAACACTGAAACTGCACCGATTGATATATAGTAAGGCTCCACATGTTAAAGACACAACCTCAATATTTCCAACCAACAAAGCCAAAACAATGATATATAAAACACACTGACTAGTGTTCTTCTCCACAGCTACCACACCAAGCTCTGGCTTTAATAGCACATCTAACATCTTGGCATGTACTCATATGCATGGCAGCCAATCCAATCAGGCGATAGGATTGCGAGCCATCAGGAATATAGCTTCGACGAGATAAATTTCATTCTCCGGATAATGGGGTTGTGTATTCTGGTGAGCGAGAGGCAGTACGGTTAGCTATGGATTGTCTCGAGGTTTTACTCTCCTGAGATGGTGAGCATGGCGGCGAGCCCCCTCTGTGTCTCCCTCTTGAAGCTGGGAATGTCCTTCAGGATGTGACCCTCGAAAGCACCGCTCAACACTACCACAGCGTCCAAGAAGTGGAATGGGATCCTGTGACTTCACGCAGTGAAGTTAGAGGCGTACAGTTCCGTGACTTCGGGTGATTTGTAGCCGTCTAAATTGCAAGGGACGGTTCAAATCAAAACAGCACAGTACCTATGAACAGTGATTGCAAATAGTGATTTATACTGCCGCTACAGTGGTTTCTCCTGTTTGCCACTGTACCTAGTGACTGTAGAATACTGTCGCTCAAGGCTCAAAATACTGTGCGCCTTTGCCTTTTCTTGCCCAAAGTCAGAGGATCCTGATCCCCATGAAGTAGGCCAGAGCTGGGAAGCTGCAGTGGGCCGCGAAGGCGGCGAGCTCCCGGCAACACTGCTGCTGAATGGACTGCACGAACAGCAGAATGGCTGGGCACCATTCTTGATCTGTTCTAAGAGCGGTTACTGCTTGTTCTGAAGAACATGGATGAGTCTTATATTAAGTGATTTGAGGGATGATTACAGATGTGAATTGGTATACCTTTTGCTTTATTGAATTGAGTTTTGTGAAACTGAAATTTAGATAGTGCATCTGTTATGATGCAGCTTTGGTTCGGGTATATGTGCTTTTCTGATTAAAGTCAGATTAAGCTGCACCAGAAATGCCAAACTCAAACCCAAAGAACTATTATGGTACATATTCCCTACATTTAAAGCGATAAAATTAATATCAACAACTTGAGTGGCATGGGCATCCATTCAAATTATTTTTTTTAATAATGCAAATATATTACATCCTGGCCTCATAAGACACATAACTAATTAGTCCATACTGAAATAAATAAAAGGAGTGGTGGAATAAATCCCTAGCTACCCTTAAAAATACAACTGACATCCTAAACAAACCACATAAATTCTAACAATTAAGCCGATATATATGTTACGCCACCCATAATATAATAAAATTCCTTTAGCAATCGATTTCAAGAGTGAAGGACTACTACGCATAATATCCTACTCCTCCTATGGTAGCATCATAGGTCAATACCGGAGCCAGTTGAAACACATGAAGATAACATGCATATGCTTAGGCAAATAAAATCATTTTTTCAAATATTTTTGCACTCCCCTAATCCAATTGCCAGAAAACAAAATGGCGCTTTGAGGAGGGGAATATTAAAAGAAGAAAGCTTGTTTCTCCATGCAGAATGAGCAAAATATGATAGTCGAAAAACAAGTGTTTAATTGTCTCTGCATTTTGCAAAAACAACATTATTTGGTTCTCTCTAATTCCTTTTAGCAAGGTTATCGTTTATCAGGATTACGTTTCTATGAAGAAACCATATAAAAACTTTGTTTTAAAGCGGAATATTTTACTCCCATAGGTTTCTCTTATGAATCCCTGATATTTGAATTCATTACCGCCGAGTATATAGAAGAAACAGAAAAAATTCCTCTTCCATGTAACGACCGTACAAAACAATCCTTTTCATCTGATAGTATAACCGTGGCACGTTTACTGTTCGTAATGTGCAGTACAAGTAACTAGTAGGCACGTTTACAGTTGTAATTAAGCTCTTTGCATATTCTGTTCTTAATTTGTTCTGTGTTTCGGCTACGTGCTCAGGAATGCGCTGTGCCAGATTAGCCACAGTACGCCATCAAGCTGTTCGATTACGGTTCTGCCCCAAACTTAACTCTCGGTCCATATTAGTTGTAGGTGTCAAACACTCTGATAGTCTGATCTGCAGCAACTGTAGCTAGTACGACAAAATTATGTGAAGTGAAAACGGGAAAGCAGAGAAAGCACAGTAGTAGAAATTAATGGGGCAATTTTCATGTTGAAGAACTCGGCACTTAATGCTTACAAGATCAAGTAATCAAACTAAACACTGAAGCTACGTTAAATACAGATAGCTTGAATATATTAAAGACAGAACATCAATATCTCCAACCAACAGGCCAAAATAATGGTATATAAAACGCACTGAATAGTGTTCTTCTCCGCGGCTACCAGTACCACACCAAGCTATGGCTTTACCAGCACATTTTGACAAGTACTCATTTGGCAACCAATCAAATCAGGCGATAGGATTGAGAGGCACCAGGACTATAGCTTCATCCAGATAAAATCTGTTCTTTGAATAATAAGTTGGTGTGTTCTGGTGAGCTCGAGGCAGCACGGTCCGCCATGGATGGTCTTGAGGTTGCACTCTCCTGGGTTGATGAGCATGGCGGCGAGCCCCCTCTGCATCTCCCTCGGGCAGCCAGGGAAGTCCTCTAGGAGGCGTCCCTCGAATGCGCCGCTCAACTCCACATGCTATCCATTGTGAAGTAGGGTAGCGCAGTGCGCTTGCATCGTAGTGGTTTGTGGTGCGGGTCGGGATCACTGGATCGCCATGCCTGGCTAACAGTACATCCCCGCGCTGGCTGCCGCAGTGAGAATGGACAGCAGAACGCTGCTAACGAACAGCTCTTTACTACCCGTTGGTAACCCCCTTTATTACCCGTTGTAGCAACCGAGACAAGAAAACCAATACTAAAGATCTCGTTGTGAAGGAACCGGTACTTAAAAATATATGCTAAAGCAAAAAATATGTGGGATATGGGATTTCAACACAAAATCTCTCACCTTAACCCTCACACGTGTTACCATCCCACCTACTACACGCATCTGACTTAGATAGAGATGCTTTATTTTTTAGCCACTAGTACAGATCCTTCTATCTGTGACGGCCTCTAATATGCCTAGAAATAGCGGGCCGTCACAAGGAAGTCATCTCAATCGGGCTAAAAAGTGACCGATTGAGATATGGTCGCACAGACACATTAGATGGACATAAAACTTAAGCCCGTCACGGATGACACCTATCAGTGACGGGCCGTAGTTTAGGCCCGATTGAGATAACATTCCATATCTCAAACGGGCCTCAAGTTGGGGCCCGTCACGGATGACCATCATCCATGACGTGCACCAACTTGAGGCCCGTTTGAGATAACAACTAGGCCCGTCACAGATGACTCATCAGTGACGGGCTATATACTAATGCCCGATTGACATGACTTCATCTCTATCGAGCATTAACTAAAGCCCTTAACCGATGAGTATTTTTCCATTTTTCACGTGAAATGTTTATATTTGTAAGTTGAACTATAGCAAAATAATTAAGAGCAGTATAATAATTCATTTTATGAGTCAAAATAATTTTGCGGGTAGTAAATGATTTCAAATGGAAAAAATGTCAACAACAAAGTTTTATAACTTATCAAGATTTACAACTTTTAGTTTGGTCATTTTTCTATATAACATTTTTTTGAATAGTTTGAATTTAAATTTAAAAATATGACAACTTCAAACAACATTTTCAAATACTAAATGATTTCAATTGAAAAAGTCATCAACAACAAAGTTGAATAACTCATCAAGATCTAAAACTTTTATTTTTATTATTTCTTCATCCAACAAAATGTTAGTAACATTATTCACAAATTTTACATATATGTGTTATAGTTTATAAACCAGATAAGAGATATGTCAATTTTGTGAACAATGTTACTATCACTTTGTTGTATGAACAAATGACCAAAATAAAAGTTTTAGATCTTGATAAGTTATTCAACTTTGTTGTTGATGACTTTTTCAGTTGATATCATTTAGTATTTGAAAATGTTGTTTGAAGTTGTCATATTTTCACATTCAAATTCAAACGGTTCAAAAAATGCTATATAGAAAAATGACCAAAATAAAAGTTATAGATCTTGATCAGTTATACAACTTTGTGGTTGATGACTTTTTCAGTTGAAGTCGTTCACTGATCTAAAATTCTATTTGAATTTTTCAAACTCTGAATTTCAAATTTCAAATTATTTAATTAGAGTCAGATGGAGAAATGACCAAAATAAAAATTTTGCACCTCGATGAGTTCTACAACTTTGATTTTGGTGACTTTTCCATTTGAAATCATTTTATAACTCCAATTTTTGTTCGAAATTGTCAAATTTTGAAAATTCAAAATTTGAATTGTTCAAATGAATTTATTTGTACAAAGGACCGATATAATAGTTGTAGATCTCGATGAGTTATACAATTTTATTGTTCATGATTTTTTCATTTGACACACAAAAATCGGCCTAAAATTAAATTTAAAGTTCTCATATGTGACGGGCATTATTTTTGACAGATCTCAATGAGTTCTACAACTTTGTTTTTGACAGCTTTTTCATATGAGTTTATTTAGTATTATAAAATTCAATTCAAAATTCATTTTTCTTAGAAGTCTGAATTGCTTCCTCTTCATGATAATACTTGCTAAATATATATTTGATCCAATTAACTCGGTTTTGCTAGTGAAATATGTGAAATATGTGAATGGATATGAAATATGTGATTAAAATGGATGTTATGTGAATGTGGTTGTGTTAAATATATTGATGGTTATGTATGTGAATGAATGTATATGAATGGGGGATGTTGGGGTGTGACATCCTGGCTTAGGGCTTAATAGGTTTAATTAATAGAATTAATAGAATACTCATACCAACAAATTATAACTACTTTTTCGGAAGCCGATCTCCAAAAAACTTTGAATTTGATGTTAAGCGTGCTAGGCCTCAAGTAATTTCGGGATGGGTGACCGACCGGGAAGTTCTTCCTGGGTGCACATGAGAGAGGACAAAAAAGACTGGCCTAGGAGAGGCGGCATGGCATGGCTAGCCAAATAATAATTTTTTTGGATTATACTCATCTGTGACGGGCATTAACTTAGGCCCGATTGAGATGAGGATCATCTGTGACGGGTTATAGTTAATACCCGTCACAGATAAGGGTCATCTGTGACGAGTGCTAGTTGTGGCCCGATTAAAATAGGTCATCTGTGACGGGCTATAGTTAATGCTATCTGTGTGGGTCAAAGCTATCTGTGACGGGCTTTAATTAGGGGCCGATTAAGATAGATTTATCCGTGACGGTCGTTTTTCCGATTGAGATAACTCTTCACATCTGTGACTTCTAGCCTGTGACGGACGTCATGCTCGATTGAGATGGGGCTTACCGCCCAATTGAGATGATGGTATCCGTTCTAGTGAGCTAACCCTGAAGACATCTTTAGTACTGGTTGGTAACACCAACCCGGACCAAACACTGCTGCACAAACCCTTTGTATTCATGGTATGGAACCCCCTTTAGTCCCGGGTAGCAAAACAGGGCTACAAATCTGAGACTATAGACATCTTTAATCATGGTTAAAATAACTAGGATTAAAGATCATATTTGGAATACAATCTTTAATCTCCGTTGATGTTACAAACCGGATAAAGTTTTTTTTCTTTTTTTTTCATTGTTAGTTTTTTTTCCTTTTTTCTTGTTGTTTTTTGCTGCTTGCATCTACTGATTTCAAGCACTATCACACCCAAATCCCCACAAATCATGCACATCAAAATCATTCACAATATACAGGACCATCCACAATCCACAAATCATTCACGAAATCTAAAAAAACTACAACAAAATATACGAATCATCGTTCACAAAATCAAAAAAAAAATCACAAATCCACCGGCCGCCGCCCGACCGTGCGCCGGCTCCTGGCCCCCCTTATCTACCGGGCCGCTGCCTAAGCCGCCGCTGCGGCTATAGTCTCATGCACCGCCGCACCCGCATCCTCCTGCGCCTCCGCGGCCATATCTGCCTGCGCTGCCCGCCGCCGCGTGCGCCGCCGTGGCCGCATCCCGCCCATCGGCTCCCCTCCGGCAGAGGGGAGGGCGACGCCGGCCGCTGCCTCCCGCCCGCTGCCCAGGTCAAGGAATTGAAGAGTGGATCGGGAGGAGAGGGGAGGGGAGGAGGAGTGGAGGAGGTGGAGAAGAAGATAAGAAGAGGCCGGTCTCTTCTCCTGCGCGTGAGGAAATAAGGAAGAGAGAGTCCTGCGCGTGAGGAAATAAGGAAGAGAGAGAGCGCAGATCGTGGGGGGAGATAAGGAAGAGAGAGAGATGCTGATCATGGGGGTTAGCCCGGTTGGTATCACCAACCGGGATTAAAGATTTATCTTTAGTCCCGGTTGGTAAAAAAGTATCACTAGGCTTTTTAACAGTCCCTTTTTTTTAAGAAATCGGGGCTATTGTGGAATTTGGCCGACCCACCAAATATAGTTTCTCCAGTAGCGAAAGATCCTAGTACCAGTTGATAACATCGACTGGAACTAAAGATATATTTACGGACTAGGGCTTTTAGAACCGGTACTAAGACATATTTAGTACCGGTTCTTAATACATTCAGAATATTTGTGTTTTGGGGACGACTAGGATAAAATGTGAGTTCTCATTATATGCTGCCAAATCCATCTTTAGGCTTCCAAACCACGAGTGTTGTAAAACTCGGCATGCCTACAAGATCAAGCAATCAAACTAGAAACACTGAAGCTACATTAAATTTTTAATAGCTTGCATATGTTAAAGACAGAAAATAAATATCTCCAACCAACAAGCCATAATAATGGTATTTAAAGCACACTAAATAGTGTTCTTCTCCGTGGCAGCCATACCACACCAAGCTATGGCTTTAGCAGCACATTTTGACAAGTACTCATTCGGCAACCAAGCAAATCAGGCGATAGGATTGAGAGGCACCAGGACTATAGCTTCATCCAGACAAAATCCGTTCTTTGAATAATGAGTTGGTGTGCTCTGATGAGCTCGAGGCAGCACGGTCCGCCATGGATGGTCTCGAGGTTGCACTCTCCTGGGTTGATGAGCATGGCGGCGAGCCCCCTCTGCATCTCCCTTGGGCAGCCAGGGAAGTCCTCTAGGAGGCGTCCCTTGAATGCGCCGCTCAACTCTACAGCGCGAACCAACGCCTGCTACAGTGCATGCATTGGAGGCAGTCAGCCCCCGAGCGGTTTGTGGTGCGGGATCGCCCGATCGCCATGCCCGGCTTACAGTACATCCCCGCGCTGGCTGCTGCGGGGAGAATGGACAGAAGAATGGAGACCGAGAGGAGGAGGTTCCTGGATACTATTGTTGATCTAATCTAAGGGTCTGTTTGACCGAATGTGAAATTGATAGGATCGGAGAAGAAGATACTTAGAATGAGGTCGTCCATCCATGGTATTAATTATTTTAAACTTGAAAAATAGACTAATATAATTTTTAATTTATATGATTTTTTAAGATATTCGCGTATGATTAAAATGAGGTGATTTTTTTTAATAATGATGTGAATGAGTATTTCCATTTGCTTTAGTTAAATTGCATCAACATTTCATCCTAAACGACCAAATGCTAATTTATAAGAATCCACCATTTCACAACACAGACATCACAATGATCAGAATCTTGGGGCAATCAAATATTCTCTCATAATTTGAGACATTTCAAAGCTTGCAGGGGAGGGAAGAGGAGAGGGGAACCTCTTGGCAGCGGGCCCAACGGCGTTGGCGCTGGCTGGCGGTCGGGCGGGCGCTGGAGGGAGCGGCGGCGGTGGAGGAGGGCTGAGGGGGCGATGACGCAGGTGAAGGCGACGGCGCTCCAACAAGACGGTAGCAATGGACGGTGGCGGCGGGCGGTGACAACGGGCGGTAGCGCTGGAGGGTGGCGGGCGGTGGTGGCGGACAGCGGCGGCAAGTGGTGACGACGGCCAACCGGATCCGGGGGAGGGGAGGGCGCCGCTGCCTCTCGCCTCCCCTCCCGCCGGATCCGGCGGAGGGGAGGGCGCCGCCGCAACCCGTCGCCCGCCGCCACCTGCCGCCTCGGGCACCACCGCCGCCCGTCGCCTGCCGCCTCCCCTCCAACCGGATCCGGCGGAGGGGAGGGCGCGGCCGCCGCCGTTGCCGCCTCCGCCGTGCGCGCGAGAGAGATAGAGACGAGAGAGAGAGATAGAGACGATAAGGCCGATGCAATCGGCCTGGTCGGTTAGGCAGCCGGTTCGGTTTGGATAGGTGACGGTTTTTTTAAAAAAGCCGGCACCTATTATTTATTATTGGTGGAAAAAGAACGAATTACCCCCTGAACTATTGCGGTTGATCGAATTACCCCCCTAACCATAAAACCGGACATTTTATACCCTCAACTATTTTTACCGGGTAAATAACCTTCCCCCGAATCAATCCAGAGTGGTTTTATGCCTACGTGGCAGTCCAGTCAGCAATTTTTTTATTAAAAAGTCGGTGGGCCCACCTGCAAGATTCTCTCTCCTCTCTATCTCTTTCCCCTCTCTCTATCTCGCCGCGCTGTGCCGAAGAATTCCTGCATGCGCTCACCCATCGGCCATCAGCGGAGCTCAGGGGAAGCTGCTGTAGCACGCGGCGGAGGCCAGCCCGTCGAGCTCGCCAGCCGGGCCTCAACCTCCTTGTGGCCATAACATCACAGCAAGTCGTCGCGCGGTAGCGGAAGCACTCCCGCACGGCAGAGCTCGGGCGGCGGTGGCAAGCCAGTCAAGCTCGCCGGCCGGGCGTCCTCCGCCTCGTCGGCACAACAGCACATCGCCGGCCGAAGCACTCCTGCGCATGCACGCGCTCGCCTGGCGGCCAACGGTGGAACTTGGGCAAAAGCGGCTGCAACGGCGGCGGAGCCGGAGCTCGCGCGTAGGCAATGACGAGCCCGCTGCCGGTCTCGTGCTTTCTCGCACTTTGTCAGCCACGCCCGAAAAATCCTAACAACCTACTTCAAGCTGCCAACAAATTAACACTCAGAAGATTGGATCAAATCAGTACACGGAGGAAGACGAGATTTTGGTGCCGCGTACTGCTGCTGCGACTTTTCTGGTTTGTTATCAACATAAATAGGAAAACTACATGCAGACTCGCCGTATATTTTGTGGGTGTCGTTCCAAGACGATGAGTCCGGCCACCGCGCTCGCCATCTTCTCGCGCAAGTCCAGCGCCGGCTGCTGCTCCCCGACCTTCGCCATCTTCTTGCACAAGTCCGGCGCTGAGGCCCAGCTCGTGAGCTTGACGGGCCGGCGTCCATCGACGCGCGCGTCATACTCGGTCTCTGCCGCAAGGAGGCTCAGCTCGCAGCCGCCGGCGCGCCTCTCGTCCTCGGCCTCCGTCGGCACGTGGGGTTCCTCGTCGGCCTTTGGCGTGAGAGGGATAGAGAGAGGTGGGGGAGGAAAGAGATAGAGAGGAGACAGAATCTGGCAGGTGGGCCTACCAACTTTTTAAATAAAAAATTGCTGACTAGACTGCCACGTAAGATAAAACCAATAGGGGGGTTATTTGCCCGGTAAAAATAGTTGAGGGTGTAAAATATCTGGTATTTGAGTTTAGGGGGGTAATTCGGTCGACTGTGATAGTTCAGGGGAGTAATTCGTACTTTTTCTATTTTTAATTAACCGATACCTATATAGGCTATATGTGTCAGTTTTTTCTTAGAAAACCGGCACCTATACTATATTAAAGATGTCGGGTTTTTTAAAAAAACCGCCACCTATACTATAGGTGTTGGTTTTTCTTTAGAACCGACATCTATAATTGTTTAAAGGTGTCGGTTTTATATGTTTTCAACCGGCAGAGGAGGAAAAGGCATTATAGGTGGCGGTTTTAGTTATTCCGGCACCTATAGTGCCGATCTCTATGGGCTTTTTTTTTATAGTGTCTAATCCATGCATGCAAATCAAAAGTGGAGTAACTCGTGAACCAGAGGACTTATGTGCTCGCTATTGGTAAAATGAAGGTCCGAGAAGAAGCCGGAGAGAATTTTTGAGAGGACATTTGACACTGTGGTATTCTAATCCATGCAAATCAAAATGCTGCAGTAGATGATTCATTCCAGATGCCTCGTATGTTTGAAAATATAAGCACATAATGATTTACTTTATTTTATAAATAAATCAGTACATTACAGACGTAAACTAGACAGTAAACCATAAATAGATTGAATATGCGCAACATGCTGAACACGCACCAAGGGTATTGGAAAACCGACTACTCAGCAGGAATGACTCGCGATTGCGTGTGCTGATGATAGCGCGCAGCACGCGAGCAAAGAGGAAGATGAGCTGTTATGGTAGAGTAGTCGCGCGAAGCGCTTTCCAAAAACCATATTGTCGCCTTCTCCTGATGCTGGATGTCGAAGATGAAGGTTCCAAAGACCTGCTCTCCCGATAGTCGGTAAACGCCGCCGGGCGGGATGGAGTATACTACGAGTGATGGTGCAATACCGAGGAAGAGGTAAACCCTAGATTGATTTTGCGTGTGTTGCGTGGAGGCGGCGGCTCGACTTATATGGAGATATCAGGAAAATTTTCAAATCTAACTCTAGTCTACAATATCACATAAAAACAAAATAACTCATGAAAAGTAGAATAGAAGCATATCTACGTAAGTATTTCGCCTACAAAATATGCAGAATTAGTACTCCGGTGGTTAGTTTTCACCATCTGATCACTAGAAAATATCCTAAAATAGCCACATTATATGTAATATGCTACAAATATCTTCTTTCTTAGCACAATTGGCACGCACATCAAACATAAACATTGGTAGACAACTAGCAAGGTCAAAATTTCGAGGGATTCCCTACATAATGGTTGGCTGCTTGCTTTAATAAACAAAATCAGGTTCAGTCAAATGTTTGGCATGCCACTGAAAACAATCCTCATGTGCTCTAATAAACCTGAAATTTACTCGAAATATACTAACGAAAGCCCCACTGTTTCTTCCATCTAACATGATGTTTGGAGGTGAGTCTCGGCCAAACCAAAATTATATTTTGTTGCAGCTTAAACAAAATAGAACCCGAGAAACCTCCCCGGTGCTGAAGCCAATGAACATTTTCTCGAGACCCAAAGACATGTCCTTGTAGTTCTTGTAAGTTTTGAGATCCACCTTCCTCAGATATGGTGCAGCATCCATGCTAACCGTCGTGTTCCTCTGCGTCGACTCCGGACACCAACACAAGGTGATCGATCTTGCCTGATGCTGTAATTATGTATTATAACATATGCTTGCCTGGCTGATCGATCTTTGAGGTCCAGATTAATTGGGGAGCTGCTCTTTGATCATTTAATATGTGTGTGTTTTGAAATGGGGAAATTTTGGTAATTTTTTGTTCTGAAATATATGCTGAACTTGATCTTTTCAGGAAAGATTAATTGTAAATTATGAGTTGTTGTGTTGATGGATTGGAGTAGCAGAAGATGAGTTGTGAATATCCTATTAGTACTAGATGGGTACCCCGCGTGTTGCTGTGGGATATCTGTATCATAACAAAGTGTTATTCTTGCTTTAAGGAAATAATATCGAAAAGAGACATGAATGATTTAGTCCAAATAGACTACAGGAAACCTTGATAGCAAAAAAAAAAAGCAGGCACATTCAGAATTATACATTCAGTTGATCTCGAAGAAAAGTGGACAAAATTATCTTCAAGTTAGTGAGATGTCCCATGCTCTAGCCCATTGTAATATAGAACTTCCGTCTTCGATTCCTTGCATTTCATATCAGTTTCTGCTTTTGTTTTGTTTGGCTGGATAGTTCGATTGTGGCATCCACCTGGCTTACTCCGGCATGGCAGCGCTCCCCTACTTCGATGAGATCGATTCCTCCACCATTGATGTCCTCCTAATCACCCAATACTTATTCCCCCCCATTCCCATTTCACCCTTTTTCTCTTCTTTACCCCTTCTGTGTAACTTCGCCCTTCAAATTTGCAGCTTTCACTTGGACCATGCCGCTTCTCTGCCCTACTTCTTGGAAAAGGTAATGTTTTCACTGTTTTCTTCTTTAACAGTGAGTGCTCGTTCTGATGCCATTCAGTGTCCTCAAGTTGCTCTGGTTTTATTTGCAGACGACATTCAAGGGGCGCGTGTTCATGACCCATTGCCACAAAGGCCATTTATAGGCTACTCCTTTCCGATTATGTCAAAGTCAGCAAAGTTTCTGTGGAGGATATGCTGTTTGACGAGCAAGACATTCTTCGTTCCATGGATAAAATTGAGGTATCTTATCTCCCTGAATGGATTTAAATTGCCTATATAGAACTTGATGCAATCTGAAATCTGAACTTGATGGTGCAGTTCTGTATATGCCACGAACCTGTATATTCCATGAATCTGAAACAATATGAGGATGCTGAATGCAGTAAATCTGGAAAGTTTCTTTTCATGATGTAGACCTGTTACAAATAGCAATATTATTTGATTGCAGTTTTTAGAATCATAGAATATGGTATGTTTTTGTTGAATGACAGTTGGACAGCTGCCTCATATTTATTTTGTGGTGTAATCTGAAAACTGAAAAATGTAGAGGATGTGGATGTGCAAGATGTTAATGTAATATTCTGTGATTTGTGTGGAGGATGTGGATGTGGAAGATGCGAATATAATATTGTGTCATTTTTGTGTTTCAAGATATATTTCTATTGGGCCATTTATTTTTTTTGGCTTTTATTATTATAGGTGCCGATTCTTTGTAAGAACCGACACCTATGTGGTGAATACAAGTGTCGGCCTTTACCCCTTATAGGTGCCGGTTATTTGAAGGAACCGGCACTTATAGTACCATATAGGTGTCGGTTCTAATGGTAGAACCGGCACCTATAGTATTATTTGTGTCGGTTCTGATGGTAGAACCGACACCAATGACTTTGATCATTGGTGCCGACCAAAAGGTATCGGGCCCGAAACCGACACCTATTGGGCCTTAAGAACCGGCACTAATAGATATTTTTGTAGTAGTGAGAATAGCACAGCAGTCTAATGAACCTAATTAATGCGAGTAGAAAAACAATCATTCCATTAATTTTTTTGGTTTATAACACTATGAATCTGTTTTTCAAAAAAGATAAAGTAAGATTTTTATGGCTCTTAGCCATCAAGATACAAAACATGAAGTGCAATACTGTGTATATAAAGAAAGGCGCAGTAAAAACACCTGCATATATATATATATATCTGTATGACTACATGGCCACCCCTTGAAACCACGCAAGCTTGGCTCTTTGTTCCATACTGATCTGAAATTTCTTGTGAACTGGAGCATGATATATAGGCTTAGGATGCATCAGGAAAGAAGCTTCTACTAGTGTACATGCCCAACAAGCTCTTATTTGTTAAGGCGCTAGAAGATTAGAACTTACTCGGTCTAGTTTCAAATTAACAGATTGGATGATCTAAGGATAGTGTAGAAGCTTTTTGTTCAAAATCACAATAAAGATATATGATCAAAACCTTAATAATTTGTCTTTGTTATTACAAATACTGGAACACAGTCATCAGTTATAGCCAACACTCATCACTGTCGGTTCGGCGGATAGTTATTGAGTATAGTAACTATCGGTCTATGCCAGGTTAATTCGGGCAGTCCGGCAATTTTGCCTGGTATCACCAATTGTCCATGCGAACAGAAAAAGTTCAGTACTTGGGCTTCTCTATATACTATATACTAGTTAGCATGCACGTGCCCTTGCAACAATATCAAATAGTAAATACTTTACATATATGGAACAGAAAAAACTTAACCTTTACCATAACAATAGAGAGAAACAAATCGATTATTTTTTTTCTAAAAAACAAACAATCAAATAATATATCACCGATAATTGTTTACGGCCCATTGCCATCTCCGCCTAATGAACGCCTTGCATGTTGGCCCCAAGCCACACTCTCTTTTTTAGGCAGAAAGAATTCAGTTGTTTTATTTAGTATTTATAATTATCCAAAATGGTGCTACTGTTTGTTAATGGTGGTGCAAACAATTGCTTTGCTGGTCCAGTTTAAAATCGGATGATTAACGGAAGCATTAGCTAGTGGTGACAGGGATAAATCTCCGAGAAAAATGGCATAAAGCAACAATACTCGAAGAGGCTCGCATTGATGCTATGTAAGAGAAAATTTGATTATGAAATACAAGTTACAAATTATCATAGTCATGTAACTGTTTGCTAGTGTTTATGCAAATGGTCATTTCTTTCATTACGGTTTGATTAGATAATTACTAACAGCATCATTAGGTTGCTAAATTGGATGGTTGCTAACAACATCATTAGGTTGCTGTGATAATATGATCGTTCTGCAAGAAAAGGTTGCAGTTATAGTGATGAAGTTGTGAGCCAAAAGGAAGAATACAGGCACAGTGACATCTGTCACGCTGATGGTACTGAAGTACGCAAATCTGTTTACAAATTGTAGCAATTTTTTGTCATTTTTCAGTTGAGGTAGATGTGAGAGGCGACGTCTTGAATGAATGAGCTAGTTGAAGCTCTAAAGCAGCCTGGTTTGAGCACCTGCAAACAAAACCACACCTCCAGCTATCAATCAATCAGCTTCTGGACTTGCCAAAATTACTATATGAAAATCTTGCAATGGTCAAGCACGTTTAATACACGTCTAATAAAATCATTTTCTATATACAGACTTAGAACATATTGTTTTTCTCAATTTTATCAAAATTATCTAATTGAATGTTGTGGTTTGTCAGATACACATTAAAACAAAACCCTGCTGAAATTATCTGAACTTCGCATATTAACTCCACCTGCTGAATCACGGTAAAACAAAAACATTTTTTTCTCTGAACCTTGATGTTCATCACCAAAGTAGGGGTAGGCAGTATCCAACACATGGGCGTAAATTGTCCCTTTAGGCAATATACATACATATGAGGTAGTGTAAGAGATACATTACAGAAGGAATTTGGAGAGCAGCAACATTTACAGTGCTCTCCTGTCTAAACAAATCGTTCTCTGCTTCAATTATCTTTAGACATGTGGTCTACATTCCGTCCACTTCAATAATCTTGAGACATGTTGTCTATACTCAGTCCATTACAATGCTCTTCAGTCTTAACAGGTGAAATGGATTGAAGCCATAACTCCTACTGCGAGTATATGAAATAAGAGCATTAACAATGTATATATTTCTTACCAACAATATTGTAGATATGCAGTGATCCTTGTGGCAGTGCAATTCAAATATGGTATCTAAAATATGGGGAATTATCATAACAGGATAAACAAGCTACAAATGATTTATGCCACATGTAAATTTACTTAATTGACTTGCAATGTCAACTGGCTGAAATAATAATTTTTCGAGATGATTACAGCACTTTACAAGCAATAGCTTCAAAGGCTAACAACAAAAACACTATAGCTGATAAAAAAGGTAATGTAAATTATATTTCTTGCCTTCAATAGTAGAAAAGAAAGGAACTGCATTGACAAATGAAAGATGTCCAGAAATCTCAAAACTTTTTTACATATCTAGCTATCAAAGTCACATATATGCCCATTCCAGTCAAATATATGATTAAATTAAGAAATGCACAAATTGGAATACCCAGAAACTGCATCACATTAGTTTGAGCTACCACGTAATAATAATCTACTGCCACATGGGAATATGATATTGAAAATTAGCCTAAGAACAAAAGTACAGTGGAGCTCAGAACTAATTGCCTATAGGATAAGCCCCAACCACATGATGGCATCCATGGTCTAGCTTTGCAGTCTGCCAAAACATTTACGTGTTTTCCTCTAACAGAGCTCACCTTCACCTGCAACAATCAGGCCTCAGGACCAGAGGGGAAGTCACAGTTCCATATCATCTGAGAACAACAGAGGGGATGATTGAATCGAATTACATCCAGCTAGGGTAATATTCAAAAATAGAAATATAATGACAAAAGAAGTTACAGAATAATGCACGTGCAAGGCAAAGAACCATAAATTAACATGACATGTTTCGTAATTGTAATCATTCCATAGTTCATAATAGATGCGCAAGAAGTTCAGTTAAGAAATTTTTTTACCACATCAAATTAATGTTGCACCAAACAAAAAACTATCCAATATAATTATGAGCCAAATGGCATGCGGATTTTTTTAGATGCAAAAGCTTAGTTTTTTCCTCTGAGATGAAACTGTATACAAAATACTGCATACCTCATGAGTACATGGTGTTTGAATATGTGGCAATGAAGTGGATCATTGCTACAGGCCTAAGGAAGAACCAGCTCCAACAGGGGAAGAACATAAGCACTCCAGAGCCGTTTCTTCAATTCAGGGGTTCCTATTAATGAAAACTGAAAGACAAATCCTTTGTACACAAGCAATTGCATGTTTGAACTGTAGGAAAAACGTTTTACATATTCAGTTATCATGAATTATGTGTATAGAACTAAACTTAAAATGTTCAAGGAAAATATTATCACTGCATAAATCTGAATTTGTCATGTGTATGAAAGCATGATATCCAGTAATATCAATATAATACTCTACATGCAATACCATTGCTTATAATGATGTCCAAAGTATCAAGTGATGGTGCATAGAAGTATAGGACTATAGGGGCTTGTAGCAGCAGAAATATTAGAATGGCCTCATCCTGAAACTAAAGTATGCAGTATTTTTAGTCCATAACGGTCTCCACATGTCTTTAGTAGTAACAATGACAAAGATATACAGGGACTGTGACACAGTCAGTCACATATGTGGGCTGGGCCAAGCGGTGGGAGGAGAAAAACAAAATTTGCATCAACAAGAAGCACATGAGGTAACTAACAATGTCTATTGGTAAAAATTGTACAGATCTACGAAACAAAACATCTAGAACAATCCATGCATACAAACTTTTATAAAAATATTTCTATAAGTAATGACCTTCTCAATCTCAGATGATTCACATTGCTAGCGTTCACCTTTAGAATGAATATCCTACTCTGCTCTTTTTAGCTTGGAATTTCCTCTGGGAATCAAGTAATAATACCAGGTTGAATTTTATATTGACAATGTACTATTATTTGCATATTTCAGAAAAAAGCTAGTGAGCAAGGCATCATACATTGTTAACTGTTTCAATGTGCAAGATGTCTAAAATGACAGGGGAAGTCTACAGTACGACAATAATCAAATCTCTATAACTTCGCCAGTTTCTTTACTATAGTCCCTCTTAGACTTTTTTCTTGAGAATACACAAAAGTTTTCACGTCTTTGTATCTAGAATTGGGAGGTAGCTCCTCCTAGATTTAAAAAATCATCCAATATTATATAAGTTAAGTTGTGTAAAGAAGATTATATTTCACAGGCTATTAGGTACTCACGGATGATTTGCTTCTTTCAGCAAATTAGGTACTGGTGCCGTCTTCTCCTTCATCTATCTCTCAGTTGTATCATTTCCCACGTACAAAACATGCTTTGAGTCAGTGCTACCACTGATAAGGAAATTGAAATTGGCATTCATACTAATACTAAGGATGGGCTTGCAAATAAATTTAAGGTACTTGAATTGCACCTGAGTGGAGGCGGTGGAGAGCCTAGCCTAGGATATGAGCATTTTGTTTGTTACCTCTCTGACCAAGGAGCTCACTTTCTTTTCCCTGGAAACCAAGGAGCTGACTTTGGTTACAGAAAAATCAGAAGCATGTACTGGAAAGCAATAATCCCTCTAGATGAAATTGAACTGGGTTGGATAGCAAAAATATACAAGTTCACTAATTCACCTGGTGTTGATCACCTATTACTATATTCCATTCTTACCCCTTCTCTTATAGCTCATTCTCATAATTTGTAACTCCACCGCAGTCCCTACCAAACAATAAATCACAATTTATCCATCCAAAACAACATTTGATAAGAGAGTTACTATTTTCTAGGACATGGTTGGCTGCAGCTTCAGTTCATTCTCTGGCGACATCCTGTTGGTTGCAGGCTGCCACTGGTACTCTTTGATCCCCACAAGCTGGCGGTGCTAATTAACCCCCAACGGCCACTGTCATTGCTAACAACGTGGCCTCTAGGCGTTAGTCTAAAATTCGTTGGGTGGGTGAGCTAGACCGGGTTCCCCTATTAAAGTAAAATCCCCAACTGGCTTAATCTGTATAAAATCCCAAATACACAATCAGAATAATACGCAGGCAGCAGCAGCTGAACCAAGCGGCAAGCGCACAGAAACCGAACCAGCAATAGGAGCCAAGGAGAACCCCTCCCACGTACCTTGAGCAGAACCATGGAAGCCCAGTAGTCGCAGCTGCACTCCTGTCGTCACGCCGGATCGCAAGTGGAGTTGAAGGCAGCGATGGATCCACGGCTCCGATGGTGGCGGTTGCAGACGGAGTAGGGAACCGGTGGCGGCGAGGAGTTGAGGAGGCAGCGGGGAAGGCACGGCGGTGGTGAAGCGCGAACGCGCGCGAGGGGAACCCGCAGTGGGGGAAAGCGCGGCAGTAGTGAGGCACGGATGTGGGGGGGGGGGGGGGGGGGGGAAGGGCGCCGGTGGGATGCGCAGACACGGGGTGGGGAATGCCCAACGGCGGTGGGGTGCGCCCGGCGGTTTGGGGAAAGGACGGGTAAGAGCGCTAATCCGATCGCTATTTTGCTGTAACCGCTGTTTACTCGAGGTATGAGATTAGTGGGTGATCGCTAATTGCAGGGGTGATCCAACTTTTAATATAAGCCATTGGATGAATAGATCTAAGGATCAGGAAGGACAGATGTTTGATGAACTCGTACTTTTTATAGTAGTATAGATGCTGGCGAGCAAGAGACAGTACGGGCCAGTAAACCCTCTCTACATCTCCTTCAGGCAGCCAGGTAGGTCCTCCTAGAATGCCTGGCGATATCCTTTGATCTGTTTACAATATAACATACCAATAACGAAGCGGTATTGCTTATAAAAAGGATTCGATCTATAATCGATCACATATATGCGTGTTACCTGAGATTGCAGTGTGTTACTAAGATAAGAAAAGGAGGATATGTGTATATATATACACGTACATATGTGTTGGGTCAACTGGGACATATTGCTAAAAGAATATAAACCTAAATTTTTAATTTTACAGTTCTTACCATCAGAAATGATGGTGGTTATTATTTTTGATAGAGATGAAATTGCCAAAATTTTTATAGCAATATATATATTATATACTAAAAGTCCATTAAACTTCCTACAAACGCTCTCAAGCCGTCACGTGGTGCTCCTACAAATGTTCCTAGGCCGCCACGTGGCTCTATTAAATCTAACCGTCTATTTTCACTTAAATTGGTGGGCCTGATATTTTAGACCATTAGATTAAATTTAAATCCCACCCCACCCATACCCCCACCACCTCCTACGTACGTACGTCCGTCCGTCAATCTGTCCATCTACCCCATACCCTCCTCTCATATTCTCTATTCCTATTTTACAGCGATCAATTTCAGAAGGAATCAACAGTTAGATAAGTTCAAGTTAATTGCTATAATTTTTAATCCATATATTTACTTGATTCCATGGTTTTGATTGGTTTGAGTTTAGAATTTATTTGCTCCGAAGGTGTCTTTACAACACAAATATATACAATCAACTTTAAAAAAATCCTAAATAAAACTTTTAAGAGAAAGGTCAAAATCATAAAAAAATCATCCTAAATATTACGTATTTATGTACATGGGAAAAACTTACGTACATACAACTGAAGAAACGAATGAAGCTTACCTACTATTCACGTCAGAAGAAAAAAAAACTACCCACAGAATTACCATAAAATCAATAAGAAAAAAAAAACATACGTACTTAGTACCATTGTAAAAAAATGATGATATTTAAAATATATTTACTATTATTTAATGATAAAACATATTACTCTATAAATTTACATAAATATCACCGTCGATTTTCATTTAAATTGGTGGACCCGATTAATGATTTAGAACATTAGATTAGATGCCTAAAAGTCCATTAAACATCCCAAAAATGCTCCTAATTCGCCATATGACATCCTACAAACGCTCCTAAGTTGCCATGTGATGCTGTAATAAAATAGTGAAATTCTTAAAAATTCTAAAATAACAAAACATATTTTTATTAAATTTGGTGGACCTATTATTTACAACCATTAGATTAATTTTCAAGAAAAAATTCCTCTCCTAAACCCGGGCCCACCTAAGTCTGTATGTATGTATGTATAAGTTACTTTTTTTTTTTACAAAAACGAACGTACGTATGTACGCCTCCTCTTCCTTCAATTCATTTCTCCAATTTTCAACTATTCCTTCTCCTATTTTCATTCCTTATTAGTTAGATAAGCAATAATTTTGTGTTAAACAATTAAGCTTCTAAATCACACAACTAATTTCTGATCCGCGTAAATCTTTAGATTATTTATAACTAAATTTACTATCGAAGACCATATTTCACTACAATTTACCTTTGAAAAAAATGCCATTTTGGTTTAGATTTCCTGACTTTTGCGTGCCCTTCAAGCAATTATAAAAATATATAAAATAATGATAATAATATAGATTTTATCATCATACATAACTTCATAATAATTAAATTAGGTCTACAATCATAAAAGTAAAATGAATATACTATGAGTAATGTTTCCAAAATATGTTTGTTAGAAAGCAAAACCTATGCAAAAAATAAGCAACTATAACATCTAACTCACACAACTAATATTTCATAAACTTATGTCTTTAGATTATTTGATTATTTTACATTTAAAGACACAGGAATGCTTTAAAAAGCTATTCTCCCATTATAACATTAGAATAAGTCAAAATAACATTATTAGATTGTAGTGTTCGTATTTTTAATATCTACTGTGAATATACTGGAAAAGACAAGTACAAAGGATATATTTTAATCAATAAATAAATAATTTTTCAATTTTTAGTTAAAAAAGTAATTGCAACTAAAACACTACAACCCGGTAAAAATAATTATTAAAATTATATGCACGTGCAATCTCTTCCCTTCAACTCTCTCTTCCTCTTAAATCATAATGTTAACTTATTTGAATTTTTGCTTTATTTTTAATTAAATAGATAATTTAAGATCCATGATACCCATATTTCACTCTATAAAAATGAAAATACGTTATTTAAACATAGACACCGTTCCTTTGCATGGTAACCAAATAGAAAAAAGACAGACCATAATACAAAATGAAAATAAGTATTATATTATCGTAAATCATTGTACATCCTCTAAGCGCGCTTAAGGCGTCACGTGTTACGCCTTAAATAAAAATAAAACTTTACAAATTAGAAGAAAAATCATCTGACTATCAGTTTCCACTCGATCCATTATTTTCAACCAATAGATATACTTTTTAGAAAATCTTAAGCCTCAATGTGTTACGTTTTAAAAATTAGAAAAAATAACAAAAAAATTGAGAAAAAATAGATCATCGGTTTTACTTAAATCATTTAGATAAAATAGAAAAAAAAACACCCCTCCACTTCGCCCTCCCCCAAACATACGCGCAACTCGGCACTACTCGTCCCTTCTCTTCTCGGCTTGAGCTCTCCACTCTACCCCTTCCTGTTTATATAGCCAAAAGTAATCAAAAATATTAAAACATGCATAAATTGCAAGCTATGCATATGCATCTGAATTCTAATCTAAATATTGTTGTATTTATAATTAAAATAATGATTTAAAGATCCAAAAAGCCTATATTTTGAACTGGTATAAAATATAAAATAAAGCAGGTAATAGAAAATATAATAAGTTCTTAAAAAATGGGTTCTTACATTTCACTAAAATTGGATCAACCATTGCATGTTCCATTTTCATAACAATTTTAAAATGCTTAGACATTAATGGCCTTACATCTATCCTATATCATAGAATTATGACTTTCTCCACATATTATTACATATATAAACTGGACTAAGGTTCACAGTATATAGTTCTTTGAAAAGTCATATTTGTTACTATTAAATTTTGGATTCATGTTAACTAGGTATATTCTTTTGAAAAAGATAGTATAGATCGCACCAATCATAAGGAAGCGAGGTATATGACATGTCTTTATTAATTTATATGTAAGTATGTAACAACTTGCATCAACTTAAACCTACTAGAAGGAGAACTACTTGATGGTACAAATAAAACATACTCCCTCCATTCCATAAATAAGGCACAACCACTTTTTTTAGATGTTCATATAAGGCATGCATGCATGTAGGCAATTAACTATGACCCATTCTCTATTAAATTATTACTTTTTTAAATCCTCCACTCTCATGTTCTCTAATTCTATTGGATGCATGCATTATATTTATTAGGATGATCCAAACTATAAGATGATAATAATTATTTCTTGGTTTTTGGGTTAGGGGTGGTTATGCCTTATATTTTGGAATGGAGGGAGTATTTATTAACAATATAGTTCTTTAGAATTTGTAAAAACAAAGCATGTAAACATTCTATTAAAAAAATAGCCAAACACCTTACTTCTAATTTACACTTGATTTGTTAGACATGTTTTCCAAACAAACTGAATCGAACTTCCTTCTATATATTAAAGAGATCATAGATAATTATTTATACAGATGTATTAAATATGATATATTTTTAAATCTAACAAATATATTGGAAAAATTATCAAAGCAAAATGCCAAAGAACAGCGGAGGCTTCACCTGATGTGTCTTATTCAAATAAAAAAATGTACTTTTAAACATAATAGGTGTCAGCCGATTGATATTCTGTTTATATATATATTTCAAACGCAATGTATAATCAGGGTTGGAAATTTCGGCCATTTCAGACCCCTCCGATACGATATTATTGCGGCCAAATTTTTTTATTTTTTCATGAATTTTGGTAATATTTGTTCAAATTCAACTAAATTTTGTTCAAAATTTTGGACCGAAATTTCGGTGATGCCCTATGAAATCGGCTAAACCGAAAAGTTTAATCATTTGTACAATACATGCCCGCGCGAATGCGCGGGCTACTTTCCTAGTTCCTTTAAAGATAGGTAATATATTGCATGATGATTATAATTAAACCAGAAACCACATTCTCTACAACAAGATACGGCTATAATGTTTATGGCTTTTCAGACACAATAAAACAAAAGGTTGTAGATGATGATCAAGGGTACCTAAGATTAAAACCATCACATGGGAGGACATACTACTCAACCAACATCTCATATACAGTTGGAGTGCACATTAAAGACCGTTAATATGAAACTCAAAGACATGTCCACGTTCATATATATGTGAACATGCACCACAGGGTGTTTGAAGTCATCCAATTTTCAGAACACATATACAAATTCTCGCAACTATATAACTAGAACCAAGAAAATCAACATGTTTGAGTGAGCTTTGTATAGGGTTAGGATGCACTGGGAACCAAACTTGTGCTGGATGGCACGAAATCCTATGGCCTCTGTCTATCTGCAGATAACTGCTCGGGAGATAGAATCCATGATTAAATTGTGCATCAGGGAATGCCTAGCGATTGGTATCAACACTGCAATTG